TCTCTTCCGATATTAAATTAAAAAGTATTTTGTATTTCAAAGAAGTATTTTATATTTCAAATACAAACTTAAAAGTATTTTGTATTTTGTATTTCAAATCGAAAGATTGAAAGTATTTTGTATTTTGTATTTCAAATCAAAAGATTGAAAGTATTTTATATTTTGTTTTTAATTTAAATACTAAGATTCCTAGTATTTTGTATTTTGTATTTTAAATACTTTAATGGTGTATTTTGCCCAACCCTGATTATATTTTACGCGTAGATGCACAACCCTGGTTACATGGCTAAATCGTTCCTTCCGTGTGGGGGGCCCCTGAACGGCTACCCAGTCCGTCCTCCCTCAAATCCGGCACTGAATTGACCGCAATCGGTAATACAGTCGCTCGTAGGATAAACTGACTGAAGCAGTGGAGCGCAGTAAGGACGAGCAAGGGGATCGGGAGGAGACGTTACGGAACACTCGGATCAGGCATGTCGAAGAAGTTTTACGATGTCACGCCGGAGCAACGCGAAATCGCGTTGTGGAGGGACGCGAAGCGGAGGCAATTGCGCGAATTGTACCTAAAGGAGGCAGGACACCCGACCAAGAACCTCCTTGTACGTATATATTTATATGCGGACGTTTAACTTAACCTACAAGTCCCCGCGATATCCGCGATATTTACGCCTACCTACCCTTCGAGATACACATTTTAACGATCGTTATCACTTATTGCGTGACACTAACTCGTTCCGTCACTCCGCATTCAAGCCGAACTCGTTATTCCGATTTGTTTGCGCCTCCTCGGATTTCGCTCGAGCGCAAAGTTCAATACTTTTAAAGAACATGAAACAGAGTGTTCAATGTTAAACTATTTACTACAGCAAGGATTGAAAAACCGAAGCGAATCTACTACAAGTGTAGAAATACAACTTTTGCTTTCGTCGATTGTGTATATTTTATACTTGAAAGATATAGAAATTGTCCATAAAGAAATTATGTAATCGACTGGTCTCTCAAACTTATAACAACAGCCGGCAACTATTTGTTGTACTTTTATACTTAGCAATTTGTTGATTTAGAAATATCAAATAATAATAGTAAATCGATTAACTGTGTCGATTAATTACATTTAATAATTATCAATGTAAATTAAATTTAAACAATTAGTAATTAGAATGCCTACTCAAAGTCAATAACATGGTAATTAGTGCGAGGCTGAGTTAATTTTTAAATACAATATTCTTCAATACATCGAACGTTTCTGCCTTCCTCAGGCCTTCCTCAGCGATAGTTGCAAAAACCCTTAAAAACGCTCTGTTTAGTCGTTCACGTTTTTAATGTAAGGGTTTTTGTAATGCTGAGGAAGGCCTGAAGAAGGCAGAAACGTTCGATGTATTAAAGAATATTGTATTAAAAAATTAAATTAGCCACTAATTACCGCGTTATTGACTCTGAGTGCCTATCTAATTTACATTAATATAATTATTAAATGTAATTAATCGACACAGTTAATCGATTTATTATTATTTCTAAATCAACAAATTACTAACAAAGGAACCTCGCAAAGTGTCAAATTCTGATTTTAATGAAACTTGGTACACTTTGAGGTCACATAAATAAATGAATTTAGAAGTTATCAGTCGGTGCTAAAAAACAGTTTAAAGAGATGAATCAACCCCTTATATGTAAATTA